CAATAGCCTACCATGGGGAACCTTATCAAACGCTTTACTGAAATCCAAATACACCACATCAACCGCTTTACCCTCATCCACCTGTTTGGTCACCTTCTCGAAGAACTCAATAAGGTTTGTGAGGCACGACCTACCCTTCACAAAACCGTGTTGACTATCCCTAATCAAATTATTCCTTTCCAGATGATTATAAATCCTATCTCTTATAATCCTTTCCAACACTTTACCCACAACCGAAGTAAGGCTCACCGGTCTATAATTACCAGGGTTGTCTCTACTCCCCTTCTTGAACAAGGGGACAACATTTGCTAGTCTCCAGTCTTCTGGCACTATTCCTGAAGACAATGACGACATAAAGATCAAAGCCAAAGGCTCTGCAATCTCCTCTCTAGCTTCCCAGAGAATCCTAGGATAAATCCCATCCGGCCCAGGGGACTTATCTATTTTCACACCTTCCAGAATTGCTAACACCTCCTCCTTATGAACCTCAATCCCGTCTAGTCTAATAGACTGTATCTCAGTATTCTCCTCGACTACATTGTCTTTTTCCTGCGTGAATACTGATGAAAAATATTCATTTAGCACCTCTCCTATCTCTTCGGACTCCACGCACAACTTCCCACTACTGTCCTTGACCGGCCCCAATCTTACTCTAGTCATTCTTTTATTCCTGACATATCTATAGAAAGCTTTAGGGTTTTCCTTGATCCTACCTGCTAAAGACTTCTCATGTCCCCTCCTGGCTCTTCTTAGCTCTCTCTTTACTCCTTCCTGGCTAACTTGTAACTCTCAAGCGCCCTCACTGAGCCTTCATGCCTCATCTCTACATAAGCCTCCTTTTTCCTCTTGACAAGAGATTCAACTTCTTTAGTAAACCACGGTTCCCTCGCTCGACCACTTCCTCCCTGCCTGACAGGTACATACTTCTCAAGGACACGCAGTAGCTGTTCCTTGAACAAGCTCCACATTTCAATTGTGCCCAGCCCCTGCAGTTTCCTTCTCCATCCTATGCATCCTAAATCTTGCCTCATCGCCTCATAGTTGCCTTTCCCCCAGCTATAACTCTTGCCCTGCTTTATATACCGATCCCTTTCCATCGCTAAAGTAAACATAACCAAATTGTGGTCACTATCACCAAAGTGCTCTCCTACCTCCAAATCTAACACCTGGCCTGGTTCATTACCCAGTACCAAATCCAATGTGGCCTCGCCTCTTGTTGGCCTATCTACATACTGTGTCAGGAAACCCTCCTGCACACATTGGACAAAAACTGACCCATCTGAAGTACTCGAACTATAGCGTTTCCAGTCAATATTTGGAAAGTTAAAGTCCCCCATAACAACTACCCTGTTACTTTCGCTCCTATCCAGAATCATCTTTGCAATGTTTTCCTCTACATCTCTGGAACTTTTCGGAGGCCTATAGAAAACTCCCAACAGGGTGACCTCTCCTTTCCTGGTTCTAACCTCAGCCCATACTACCTCAGTAGACGAGTTGTCATCAAACGTCCTTTCTGCCACCGTAATACTGTCCTTGACTAACAATGCCACACCTCCCCCTCTTTTACCACCTTCCCTGATCTTACTGAAACATCTAAACCCCGGAACCTGCAACAACCATTCCTGTCCCTGCTCTATCCATGTCTCCGAAATGGCCACAACATCGAAGTCCCAGGTACCAACCCATGCTGCAAGTTCACCCACCTTATTCCGGATGCTCCTGGCATTGAAGTAGACACACTTCAAACCACCTTCCTGCCTGCCGGTACACTCCTGCGACCTTGAAACCTTATTTATGACCTCACTACTCTCAACCTCCTGTACACTGGAGCTACAATTCAGGTTCCCACCCCCCTGTTGAATTAGTTTAATCCCTCCCGAAGAGCATTAGCAAATTTCCCCCCCAGGATATTGGTACCCCTCTGGTTCAGGTGTAGACCATCCCGTTTGTAGAGGTCCCACCTGCCCCAGAATGAGCCCCAATTATCCAGGTATCTGAATCCCTCCCTCCTGCACCATCCCTGTAGCCACGTGTTCAACTGCTCTCTCTCCCTATTCCTCGCCTCGCTAGCACGTGGCACGGGTAACAAACCAGAGATAACAACTCTGTTTGTTCTAGCTCTAAGCTTCCACCCTCAGTCAGATGCTGCCTCTAGAGTTCAGCTCTTTGTCCAGATGACTGCAACCATGTGGCCTTGTTGGAACCCCAACTGAGCATCAGTGAACAGGTTATTGCTGATTGAGTGGTACTTAACATCAACAATATGACCATTTTCCTGATGATTGATAGAAGATTGGTGAAATAGTAATTGGCCAAATTGGATTTGTCCCACTTTCCGGGAACAGAACATAGCTGGGCACGATACTACTTGTCAGGTATGTGTGCGCCTGCATAATCTGCAACAACCAGAAGGGAGCACCCTGGCCATGCTCATTTCCCCCGTAATGATACCGCACTGTAACTATGCAAAAGTGTAAAGGTACTGCACAGTAAAACGTGAAAAAAAATTAGAGGGCCTATTAGAAAGTGGCTGAAGGAAAGAAATTATCAAAGGTCCAAGAAAGACAGCTCACATTAGGCAGCTCCATACACGATATGTACTTGGCCTCCTGGCAATCACATCTGCAGATACAGGTGAAAATCTACTTTGAAAGAGGATTAGCTGGATCAAGGCACCATTTCCAAAAGAAAGCTGCAATAGTAGACCCCAATAATATTATTTAGAACAGTGAATACCACAGCAAGTGCAATATTGGCTATTTCCATTGGAAGTGCTGTACTCCCAACATGCCGTGCACTCAGTTCCACAGCATGATGCAAGGAGATGGCTTTCTTTCAAGTACTGAACGAGAATAATGAGTAGCAGCCATATCTGTAAAAGTGTCAATTACTTCCACAGACCCTAGATCAAAACCATGAGGACTATCCCTCAGAAACTGATCAGACAGACCATAGATCTGCAGTATAGTGCTGATACATACAATGATGGGAATTGCTGAAGCTTAGTTCCACCCCTCTCTCAGCATTCTTATTGTTGGGAAGAGTACCATGGTGGCCAATCCACCTCAGTTAACAACACCCCCACTTCAACAGCCAGAGTGTTGGGCTGCTTGGTCACACACTGCAGACTCTTCCTTCCATTTCTTTAAATCTTTACTCTTTCAACTTTGGCAAAGGTTATGGATTTGAGTTGCCTCCCAAGAATCTCCACAAGTTTACAGCGTTCTAATCTCTTATTGTGACACCAACCTTTTATTCTCCCGACATCTTTATATTCAACTTGTAGGGAACTCCACACTGTTATGCATCTACTCTATCCATCTGTCCAAGCTTGAAATTACACTAACACGTGGACTTAGGAAAATGGGCGTAAACAGTCCACTTTCACACAAACCTTTATAATTGCTATTTTTTGCAGATCACAAAGGAAAGTCTAGGGTATAAGATTCAATTTCGATAAAATAAGGGTAATTATTGGAGAAATGAGAAAATTGAATATGTATCATCTATTTTACTTAACAGTCCAATTAAAGCATACAACACAAATACACTGAGGCAGAAAGAGGAGAGCTACAAAGATAGGGTAGTGATATAGGTCTGGTAAACTTGGCTTATTTCAAAGTTTAGGTGAATCAGATGATCTAATTAAAAAGATAAATGAACTGGTTGTACAAGGTAGATGCTAAGTGGATCCTTCTGGGTGGGGAGTCTAAACATAAGGATTGGGCCATTTTGGACAGAGATGAGAAAAACTGCTTGACTCAAAAGGATGGTGAATTTTTGCAATTCACCACTCCAAGGAAGCTGTGCAAACTCAGTGAATATATTCAAGATAAAAATATACCAACAGTAATTTTGGTCACGAAGGGAATCAGGGTTATGTGGACAGAGCAGGAAAGTGGTGTTGACAGAAAAGATCAACAATGATCCTTCTAAATGGTGGTGCAGGCACAAAGGGCAAATAGTCAACTTTGGCTCCAATTGGTCATTTAATTATATCAGGTCATGTTCTGACTGACAAACACATCCTTCAACATTTTCAAGGGATTCTTTGCACACATGTTCAAAAAGTACTTCTGTGCATAACAGTAGTGAAAATAAAAAAAAGCAGGATAACAAGTGCGAAAGAGGACCTCTCCAGCTACAGTAAGAATTACAGGGCAGATCAATAAGTACAGTTCCTCATGAGGTTACTTAGCTGAACTGTTAAGTGCTTCATATTGACTGGATAATTTCATGAACCCATTTGATCCAAAGATGTGGTGCACATAAGTAAATATAACTGGTATGAAAAGGAGAAGAATGGGACAACAGACTTCAACAAAATAAATACTAAGAAGGAAAGCTTTCAAAAGGATAATGAAAAGGTAGTCTGCCAGAATGAAATGTAGATTAGTGAGTTATCATTTTGAGAAGTTAACTATGCAGCAGTGACACACAAGAATGTAAGAGAAATTCCATCAATAAAGTTTAAGTCTCATTCTTCAGATTGAGTGGAGAAACCACTGAACAAATATCCATGTCCTCAAAACCAGTTCCGAAGATTCAGGCAAAGCTCCTTCAAAACCAACCAAGATGGGTTGGACCGCTCAATGACTGAAAAGGGTTTCCCCCTGTTTTCTAAACTCTCAAATGGTCAACATTCCAGGGGAGGACAAAAAACAACTAAAGACACTCTGTGCCCGAACTTCTGAGATATGGCAGCATTAATATTAATCAGTGGAAAGAGCTTGCTACTAATTGCTTAAAACTGGGGCAACTTATCTATCAAGCTGCATGGCAGAATGATGATAGAGAAGGGAAAAAAAGGAAGCAAATCCTATACTCCAGATCCCACTACCTCAGGGACATCCTGCACCATGTGCCAAAGGTCTGGCGACAAAAAATTGGCCTCTTGAGTCATGAGGACCCATAACAGGAACCCATACCCAGATAGGATGTAACCCTCAAAATCAGGGACAGTCAATGACAACAACATTGTTGAATGTTTATCAATTTAAACAGCTATTTGTTGTTTCTTCGGCCACTCACATTAAAATATTAGGACTTTGACAGACTGTTTCACCAAGCAATTAAATAACATTAAATATTACCACAACAGACAACAGCACAGAAGGAGGCAAAGCAGGCAATTCTCTTAACTTGAAATTAAAGAATACAGATACCTGCAATACACACGAAAAGCCTGTGAATAAGATCATTGCTGCTATGGAAACGGGCTCGAATCTTTTCTCTCGTAGCAACTTTGGCAGCCAAAAGTGCCAGTTGGATTTCCTCTTGATCTACATCCTCGGAAGTGTAAGAACTTGTGAGACTGCCAACAGGGCTGTAAAAACACAGCATTTGTTAACATTGGCTGAGCTGAAAAGACCAGATATTAAAAACCACGAGGCAAATAATCAGATTATGTTTACAATTTTAAAAAAAGCAAATGCCGAATGCGCCTCCTGGTACATTCGTTTCTGTAAATGTTTCAAACCATTCACCAAAAGGTAGGATACCTAAGCAACTTAAAGAAAAGGACCCTGAATAAAAAATTTAAGTAATGCATATATTCCAAAAGAATATTCAAATCAACCTTATGTTGCCAAGTTGAGTAGAATACTTGTGGATTGGGAGGCAGGCAGTTAGAGTTTGGTGTTCATAAAATGCTAGGGGGAAAGTAGTGCATGGCCCCATTAAAAGATGATGTGCTTTTTCCATGCTTAGAGATTTAAAAAGGACGTCTGTGAGCAGCTTGAAAGTTTGCAACAGCACAGACAGCACCCGAATTGAAACAATTGTATCAAAAGGCCGCACAGGTAGCAGGCCAAGCAGAAGTTTTGCTTTGTTATCAAGACAACAAGTTTTGAATTTAACCAATTAAATTGAATGAGGCACTGAGATACCAAAAACCAATTAAATTTAAATCTGACAGTTCTGACAATGTAGGGACCAATCCTATCGTAAGAAATTGATATGTCATCAAGGGTATAAAAGAAAAGGGCAGTTGGACAAGAAGGCGTTCCTGACAGAACATTTGACACAGAAAGCATAGAACATTCTGGAAGACACATAACCTGGCTGTAATTTCGAGAGACTAAATTCTATGTTTCTTTAATATAAGGGGTCTTTATTTATTGGAACAGCATACCATTAGAATCTTGTTTTATTCAGGAATAGTTAGTTGTTAGAAGGGAGTTTATTTGGTTTGTTAATAGTTTAGTTAATTTGTTCACTGTTGAGTCGGATAAAGAAATTGTTATTTGTTGATTGTAAAGTGAGTGTCAGGGGTTTATTTTATTTAACTACTGGAAGTTGCTGAAAGGCAGGTTACATCACTTTTCACACACCTTTTTAAGAGATTATAGGGCGGACCACTCCTCTTTGGATCTTAATTCACAGGGAGTGGTCAACCTCCACTCTATAACTCTTAATAACTAGTTTTCTTCACCAATTCCTGTTCACTCACACTGCAGTGCTCACCAACTTGCAATTCAGCAATGCCACAACTTTTAAAAAATTCTCAATGTTGCTTTCAAGCTTCACAGCTTCTTCCCATCTCATCTCTGTAACATTTCCAAGGCCAAAAACACTCCAAGATCTCTGCACTCCAATATGGCTTTTTCACTTCACCTAATTAACTCACACTCTCCTTAAAATATGCTTTAAAAATATCTCTTCAATCAAGCTTTTATTTACCTATCTTACCAACTTTATGAAAAGTTCATTTTTGGGATGTGGTCGTCACTGGCTAAGCTAAAGTTTATTTCCCAATCTCAACTGCCCTTGAAAAGGTGGCAGTTTAACACTTTAACAGTTGCAGTCCATGTAATGCAAGGGTACCCACTGTTCTTTTTGAAGGGAGTTCCAGGATTCTGGCTAGTTACATTAAAGAAATAGTAACATAATTCCAAGTCAGGATGGTATACAGCTTGGAGGTGGTGGCATTCTCATGTATCTGCTGCCCTGGTCTGTCCAGGTTGCAGAGTTTATGGGTTTGGAAGTCATTGTCAAAAGAGTCTTGCAGAGTTGCTGCAGTGTATATGGTAGATGGTACACAGTACTGCCACTGTGCTTCAGTGTTGGAGAGAGAACAAACATTGAAAGTGTTAGATGGTGTCTATAGACAGGGAAGAATTGAAGAAAATCAGTATTAGGAAAACAAAATGCTGCTAGACAAATTAAAGGTGTTAACTATTAACTTAGAGACACAGGTTCAAATCCTGCATGTCAGACAGTGAAGGACCAATAATGTTAGGTTCACTTTGTATCGCTAACCAGATCTCCAGCTAATAAATGTGAATGAATAAAAAAATGTTCCCAAGGACTGATGATCTGCATCCCAGAATACTGAAGGAAGTGACCATGGAAACACTGGATGCATTTGTGGTCATCTTCCAAAATTCTACAGTCTCTGGAACAGTTCCAACAAATTGGAGGGTGGCAAATGTAACCCCACTATTTAAAAATGGAGGAAAGAAAAGACAAAAAAAAAGTTAGTTGCCAGTTAGCCTAACATCAGAAAAGGAGAATATGTTAGCACGTGTTATAGAAGATCGGGACAGTACGGTGGCTCAGTGGTTAGCACTGCTGCCTCACAGCGCTAGGGACCCGGGTTCAATTCCACCCTTGGTTGACTGTCTGTGTGGAGTTTGCACGTTCTCCCCGTGTCTGCATGGGTTTCCTCCGGGTGCTCCGGTTTCCTCCCACAATCCAAAGATGTGCAGGCTGGGTGGATTGGCCATGCTAAATTGGCCGTAGTGTTGAGGGATGTGTAGATTAGGTGGGTTATAGGGGGATGGGTCTGGGGGTATGCTGTCAGGGTCAGTGTGGACTTGTTGGGCCAAAGGGCCTGTTTCCACACTGAAGGGATTCTATGATTCAAGATGTGATAACAGAACACTTGGAAAGCAGTAACAGAATTAAACAAAGTCAGCATGGTCTTGTGAAAGGTAAATCATGCTTAGCTTATCTACTGAAATTTTTGGAAGATGCAACTAGTAGAATAGATAAGGGACAACTAGTGGACATGGTATATTTGTATTTAAAGTGTTTGATAACTTCCCACTTAAGAAATTAGTGGGCAAAATTAAAAGCTGTATAAATATTACTGTAGCCGTATCAATCCAGGCAAGTGGGGAGTAATGGGAAGTCAGGTGGCAAACTCCAAACCTAGAATCCCCAGGCTCTGCTCTGTTTTTTTTAAGGCACTGTGTTTATGCTTGATCCATTTCAGTTTCTGGTTATTATTAACACCCAAGATGTTCAAAGTGGAGGAATTAGTCCAGTGAGAAACAAAGACTCTTCGAGAAGGGGACATGGCTGAATGAGGAAGTCAAGGATTGTATTGAACAGAAATAAACACAATGCAATTGTACAAAGGTTAGTGGTAGGTCAGAGAATCTGTGTTTGGGAATCAGCAAAGAATGATTAACATCTAAAAAGACAGAAAGTAGAATACATGAGAGAAAGGTAGCTAGCAATTGAACAGAAGAGGAAGACTTTCTGGAGGTATTTGAATAGAATGAATATGGGTGCTCCAGAAAGCATGTTTGGGGAATTGTTTGTGCATAACAATGAAATTGCATAGGCTTTAGACAGGTGTTTTGTGTCTGTCTTCATTGTGGAAGATTTGGAAAGATTCCACAGGATACTCAAAATCAATAAGGTGAAAGCAAGGGAAGAAATTAAAACCACCACTAACATAAAGGAAAGCTAACTCACCTAACATAAACAGAAATTGCTGGAAAAACTCAGCAAGTCTGACATCTGTAGAAAGAAAGCAAAGATAATGTTTTGTCTCCAGTGGCCCTTCTTCACCTAACATCTGACAAGTCTCTAGGACCAGATAGCCTATATCAGAGGGTCTTAGAAAAGCAAAAGAAGGTGGAGCAGGAGTTGGTAATGCAGTCCCTTAAGCCTGCTTTGCCATTTAATATGATCATGGTTGATCTCATCACAGCCTCAACTCCACTTTCCTGCCTGCTGTCATTAACTCTTCAACGTGTCCCGGCATTCACCACAGTCTGGGGTAGTGAATTCCACGGGTTCCCTTTGAGAAAGGGGACCTGCCATCCCTTGGCTTAAAACTATCATCTCATGTTCTAGATTGCCTTCCAAGGGGAAATATCCACTCTACGTCTGCTTTGTCAATCTCCTTTAGCATCTTATATACCTCTATTACATTTCCTTTCATCCTTCTAAACTAGTGAGGTTAGGCTTAAACTCTTCTTTTTCTCTTCATAAAACAAACCCTCATCTCTGGAATTAATCTGGTGAACCTTCTCTGAACTGCTTCCAATGCTATTGATCTACTTTCCTTATTTGTCTGTCTCTTTGTGCCTGTGTGTGCATGTGCACATATATGTACATAAGGGGGGGGGAGCAGTTTAAAAGAGGATTAAAGTTTTTGTTTCTAGTGCTATATGCCAATGATTTACATCAGTTTATCTGCAGTTTTAATCTAATTACTAATAATAAGTAATTTTTGTTTAGTACAGAAACCTGGTCCATGATTTCTATCAATCTTGGATTAAAAGTCAGGTAAATTGGGATACACTCATACCTTTAAAAAGCATTTAACATTTGATATGACTCCAGGAATAGCAGGGCTTGACTTGCAGCTCACTACCCCAGTGGATCGTAATATATTACAGAAGACCCTGATGGGACACAATAGGGCAGATCCAGCAGAATGTTACACCTAATGGGAGAAGACAAGAACTGGACAGTACATATCAAGAAAATAGCAGAAATAAGGAGAATTTATTTCTCTTAGAGGGTCATGAGTGCGTGGAATTCACATCCCCAGAAAGTAGTGGAGGACTGGATAATTGAATTGATTCAAGGCAAAGTTAGATAGATATTTAACAGACAAGGGAGCCCAGAGTTATGGGGAGCAGACAAGATCATGGAGGTGAAACTACCACCAGATCAGACATTATCTTGTTGAACAGCAAAACAAGGCCGAGTGGCCTACTCCAAAGTCCAATTTTATTAACAAGGTATATTGACTTAATCAAAGAGTTCATATTTTGTTACACTTCTTTATTGGTCCGTTAAAAACATTTGAGCAGCTAAATTAAATACTGTACATTTGATATCATTTATTTTGCAGACATGTGTAAATGAGCAAATGACGCATTACAGCACAATAGTAACTGACCTCTTCACCCCATTTTCTCTGGACACTATAATAGAAGCCTAATGCCCAAAGTGCTTTATCAAGATGATTACATTTATGGATCACATTCATTAAACTAATGGAACATAGCTCTTTTGGGAGGTGATACACCAGTATTGCATTAAAGCTTCATCTTTACCTTGCTGCTTTACTTTTGCACCAGATAACTGCCACAAACTCTATAGCATTTCACTGTAAGCACTGGAAAATCACATTTGCTCTGACTAGAGTTAAATCTTTTTGACTCTCAGTACAACAGTCTTGTCAAAAACTGTGGTTAACTAAATTCCAAATCACTGGAATAATTTTTTTTATTTAATGTATTGTGAAGAGTGGCTGAGTGTACAAAAATAATTTAAAGACCTAGAAAATTATAGTACCAGAAATTTCAAGTAAATTTATTCTGCAGATTGTACAGGTTTCTATGAAAAAACATAAATGTTTGGTTGCAGATGTAAATAATTAATGAAAGCTTATGTGACAGAATTCTGAGTTGGCAATACAATGAACATTTGCAGAATATGCTGTTCCGAAGAATTGCAGATGTGCTTAGAGTTTTGTATTTAAACTATGCATAGATTTAAACAGAATCAATAATATATAATTACAGAACATTCAGGGGTAAACACAACATAAACAATGATGGAAAAGCTCTGCAAATCTGTCATCATCTGTGGAGAGAGAAAGGCTTAATGTTTTAAGTCCAGTATGACTCTTCTTCAGAACTAAAAGGGGCTGGAGTATGCATTTTTGACAGAAGAGGAGGAGGAAGCAACAGAGAACAGATGGTGTAATAGCCCACTACAAAAGACAAAGGGGCTGTTAACCACAGTGAGGAGAAACAAGATGTAAAATGTTGTAAATTAAGGTGTGAAAGAAGAGGGTGGGTCCTATTCAAATTGTATTTTAAATGTTACTGTGCCTGCATCTATCACTTCCTCTGGCCGTTCATTCCACATATGAACAACCCTCGCTGTGGAAAATGTTGCCCCTTGGATCCCTGTCAAATCTTTCTCCTCCCACCTTAAAATATGCTCCCTAGTTTTGAACTCATCCACCCTAGGGAAAAGACTTTTGCTATTCACCTTACCTACGCCCCTCATGATTTTATAAACCTCTATAAGGTCATCCCTCAACCTCCTACACTCCAGTCAAAAAAGTCCAAGCTTATCCATTCTGGAAGGCTGTGACTCACACCAAGAGCAGATGAGGAGCTATTTCCAGACATATTAATGAACTTTAAAATTTAATGCTCCCCCAGTTCTCATCAGCTAGCAACAGTCAGAAAGATACACATAAATAAAATTCAGCAACTCGCACTGTTCTACATCCTTCTTCAGAAAGCATTGCGTGTACGATTGGGGAAAATTAATTGCACTTCCCACCAAAGTTAATAGTATGTAAGAATTGCCAAAAACTTGGTGCCAAGACCAATGTAAAGAAGAAACAAAAAATAAAAATTACATTAGGATCTCTAGATCAACTGGCAATATCAATTTGAGTGATTAGGTAAGGGACAGAATATCTACTTAGGCAGTCAGGATCAAGTCAGTTTGCCCACAATCAGACACAGTAAAACTTCTTCTTTGCTGCAGTGCTAGTTAATCTCAGCCCTTCTTTGTGAGGATTCTTCCCATTGCCTACATCACTCCTTATGGTCTTTAGGATGATCAGTGTTGATTCTGAGATGATTTGTGAAAGGAATTATCGGTATGCTGTACACCATGAACTAGGAACCAACCTGAAAATGAATTGGTAGGGCCCTTGAATCATCCACCAAGTCTGAGTCTTAATCCATGTGATCGGCACAGTTGTCATAACACTGCCCGTATGCTAATACAAATATGCATGGGAGGAGGCCAGGTGCAAATAGTAGAAGGAGAATGTGAAATTCCAAGCATCCTACCACCAGCCTCAGTGAACAGCACCTGTGACAGGAGTGTGCAGATCCAGAACTGCAGGGTTTAGTTACAGTTCTCGGGTAGAATGCAGTCCTCACGCAGATTAGGCAATTAAAGAAACGGTTAAATCACTTCATTGGAGACAGAAGGAGCAACATCTCTGTATCTAAAGTTACATTGAAATCTGGAACATTTAATAACTACATCAAGGCCCAAATATAGAAAAATGGTCCAAAATCTTAACATAGATTAGGAATAAAAAAAAATAAAACATGAGAAAGTAAAGAATGCATAAAATCATTTATGGGACTTGACATAGTATTAATTCTTTGATATCTAGTGCCAAGAAAAAAATGAGTGATGAAGGCAAAAAAAATTACTCAGTTTTAATCAACAGTCTTTGCTGGCATCAGGCTCACTGCAAATCAATTACATTTAATCAATTCCAAAGAAAAGTGAAACTAAAATGAATAAATCATTTTACCTTTCCCTATTGAACAGTTCACTTCATGTACTGTAGATAGAAGGATCTAAACTTCATAGTCAGACAAAACTTAAAAAATGTACACTTACTGGAAGTATTATCATCTCAAAGTAGGTTTAAGTGCAAAAATACTTGTGGGTACGGTCAATGCAGAATTAATTCTAGCAGAGTAAGCAATCTTACCGAACACAGTGCCAGGAAGTATTTCTGAAGCTCAGAAGTGCCTTTCAAATAAAATTAGGAAATATTCTAATAAAAGCAAAGTACTACAGATTTTGGAGTTCTGAAATGAAAGCAAATTACTGGAAAACATCAGCAAATCTGGGAGGATCTATGAAGAGAGAAAATGCCAGATTTGCTGAGTTTCTCCAGCACTTTGTTTTTATTACAGGAAATGCTCTTCCTCACCCTTGTCTCTCATTTTATGTAAGATCATGGAAGAAGTGCAGGTTCCATCTAAGGAAATATGGCTAATTCCAGAATTGAAATTGATTTTTGACACTACTTAATATAAAACAAAAGAAAGAAAGTAGGACAAAGAACAACGTAACAGACAAATTGAACAAGCTAATGTAATATTAATAGTTTGTCTTAAAGTAAAGAAGCAGCCCAAATTTGCTTAAAGACTTGGACTGGTACTTGTCAAACAGCAACCTGGTATCAATTACATATCTTTACAGATGTAAACACATGCCTGAAAATACTGAATCAAAAAAAGGATTCCAATGGAAGAAATACACAAATCAATGTGCAAGCCCGTCTGTACCGAAGATTTTTCCAGCAGCATCTAATTAAAACTAGAAGACAATCATACAGGTTTCAACCTACTCATAGCTGCATACTTTTTTCACAGATTCTATTACCTTGGAGTATACGTGCTGGAAAGACTACAAGTTGTGACAGAAACACTTTCACAATCACTGCTGGATACAGAGCTGATGGGAGAATCTTGGATGGGATCTTGAGAACTGAAATCACATTAATGAAAACACAAGGAAAGTAAATTTAGGGAGCAGCATTTTAAAACTCAGCAAGACCTGAATCACACACATTCATTGTGCAAACAACAAACTTAAAAGATCTCAAGTTAAGAAATAAAACAAAAGTCAAACGGATGAACAGCAAGAGTGCAAAGAAGGACAATTTTACTGATCTGCTGCAATGGGAGTAAATGGTGCAAAATCTATTTTCCAGAATGCAAGATGTTAAAACCATTAATTCAGTATTGGAGCAACTGGGCCCAAAATTAGAAGACATATGAGCAGAACAAACGGTTCTTGAACTTTTCTTGCCTCCTTCCTGAAGGATAGATCTTTTAAATAAGTAAGCTTTCTTTGAGAGTCCGCAGGTTGCATGTGACACCTACTGAAGAAACATTTCGTTGAAAAATCATGTCTATTTGTTATCCAAAAGTGAGAGTTGACAAACAATGTTAAAAGCCAAACATAAAAATATTCTTGGCTAGGAAAAGCTGTTTCCATTAAGTTTTTCCCAAACTCTGGCAATCAGAAATGCATGTTTAAACATTCTTCACCACCCCTCACACCAATATCCACCCCAACACCTTAACTGAACATGCAATCCCCTGGAAAAGGCAAAAGCAGGATCAACAAGGAAAAGTACTCTGGAGAAAAAAATTCCATCTAAGCTTCTCAGTGATCAAAACAATATTTACATATGGTAACATGTTCACATATTTAGTGCACACAAAGCAAATAATTCACCACTAGTTCCCCTCTGAAATCGCACAGACCAGTGAATGTTGTGAAATTATATAAATTATTGATCCGATTACAATGCCCCACTGACAAGTTACCCCAACTAGAGAAAAAACCTAGGATACATTCTGCCTGCAAGAATGGAAACTGCATCGTCATGGACTTACTGGAAGAGCCCAAGATTGCAGATGTTTAGCTACCATCTCAGAAATCCAGAGCTTCCAATTCTAGTCCATAGCTCATCACTGATCTGGTTGACTTCAGAGTAGGAAAATCAGCTTTTTGGGAGAGATGTGGCAAGATAATTGGTAGAAGTCACAGAGGTGAGGAGAACTTCTTAAACATGGCAAGTTGTTAGCCTTTGCAATGCACTGCCTGGAATAGTGACAAACCAGACTCAATAGTAACTTTCAAAAGGGAATTAGATAAATATTTGAAGAGGGAAAATTGACTCCCCTGCACTGTCTCATTCTCAATTTGTAAAAATAAAAAAAAAACTCAATGATAATGGAAAGATTAAAACTGACACTCAATCTTAGAACTTCAATGACTGGCTATTCAGCACCATGAAAAGGGTTAACGATTTCTCACTCCATGGATTCTGAGTATTTCCAGCATTTCCTGTTTTTATTTTAGATTCTCAGGAAGCATGTGATCCAATCTAACTGTATGCTATTCCAACATATCTCCTGGCAGGTAGTTACTTAATGCAATTGGCAGATGTCTGGAATTACTCAGCAATAAGGTAATATCTGTGTACGAAAAAAAGACATTTAAATGTCTCAAGCCTATGACTACATTGTGAGTGCTGCTTGGCTGAATGAGTGCACTTTGGAGTTGGATGAAAACAGGGAGCTAGGTGAGGCAGGGAGGAAGTAATGCTGAAAGACTGAACGTGGTGCTCGTCTCAGTCCAGGCAGTCCAAAAAGTGACATGATCTCAACAGAAGCAGCCAATTGGTAAGTGATTCATGCAGAATATTTCTTCACAGTTTTTAAAGCATAACGTATTGGTTTAAATAAAGGTTGGAACTTTTGATTAGAAGTGTTTGAAACAAGGCATGGTCCCGAACTTAATTAAATTCTCTTAAAGGGAGTAACTACAGATAGAACTGTCATAACACATGTTTCGTTGTGTAACACCATCGATGAATGGCAGACGCTGTTTGGATAACGTGAACTTTCTGCTGTACAGATGAAGTGATTTTCCCTTAACGTGATTTTCTATAGCATGAAGTCACACAAGAATGCAACTATTGCATTATAGGAGAACTACTTGTAGCTTAATCTAGAGAGAAGTCAAGACAGGAGACTTCAGACACATTGTGTGCTCCTCTTGCACAACATGGGGAAAAAAGGGTCATTTCCATTGACCCTGACGACTATGTGTAAAAGAAGGGTGACCAGCTGCAATTGCTGGCTCACTGCTTTTTGGAGCTGGAGATGCAGATGGACTCACTGTGGAGCATCTGCGATGCTGAGAATACTGTGGATAGCACGTTTAGTGAGGTGGTCACACTGCAGGATTATGCAGACAGAATGGGAATGGTGACCGTCAACTAAAGTAAAAGACTCAGGAAAGAAGGGCAGGAGTCCCCTGTGGTCATCCCCCTTTCAAATAGACATAGCGATTTGGATACTGTTGAGAGGATGGTCTCTTAGGGGAAAACAACAGCAGCCAAATTTATGACAAACATGGTTCTGTTGTTTAAAAAGAGTACATAGGAAATGCCAAACAATTATAAGCCAGTTAGTCTAACATCAATAGTGGGCAAATTATTAGAATCAATCTTGAGTGATTGGATAAACTGTTACTTAGAAAGCAATGGACTAGTCAGGGATAGTCAGCATGGCTTTGTTAAACAGAAGAAACTGAAGCAGGAGTAGGCTATCTGGTCCCTCGAGTGTGCTTTGCCATTTAGTAAGATCATGGATGACCTTTTCATGGACTCAGCTCCACTTACCTGCCTACTCACCATAACCCTTAATTCCTTTACTATTTTTCAAAAATATATCTATTTTTGTCTTTAAGAGACATTCAATGAAGTAGCCTCAACCGCTTCACTAGGCAGGGAATTCCACAGATTTACACTCCTTTGGGTGAAGAAGTTTCTCCTCAACTCAGTTCTAAAGCGGCTCCCCCCAGTTCAAGTTTCACTCACCAACAGAAACAATATCTTTGCTTCTTTCTTATCTATGATCTTCATAATTAAATACGTTTCTAAGAGATCCTCCTCAATCTTTTAAATTCCAAATGAGTATAGTCCCAGCATACTCAATCTCTCCTTCATTAGCCAATCCTCCCAACTCTGGAATCAACCTAGTGAACCTCCTCTGAATCCCCTCCAGTACCAGTACATCTTTTCTCAAGTAAGGAGACCAAAACTGTACACAGTATTCAATGTGTGGCCACACCAGCGCCCCATACAGCTGCAGCACAACCTCCCTGTTTTTAAAAACTCCATCCCTCCAGCAATGAAGGACAATATTCCATTTGCCTTCTTAATAACCTACTGCACCTGCAAACCAACTTTTTGTGATTCAGGCACAAGGACACCCAGGTCCCTCTGCATAGCTGCATGTTTTTTAGTCGGTGACATCACATTTGCTGCTTTCCAATCTGCCGGAACTGCCCCAGAGTCCAGCAGATTTTGGTAAATTATCATGAGCGCAAGGGAAGGTCATGCCTTTTGAATTTAATAGAATTCTTTGAGAAAGTGACAAGGAGGATCGATGAGCGTATTGCAGTGGCTGTTGTTAGCTGGAGTTTAGTAAGGCATTTGACCAAATCCCGTGTGGCAGACTGGTTAAAAAAGTAAAAGCCCATGTGATACGGAACAGTGTGTTAACTGGATCCAAAGTTGACTTAGTTGACAAAGTTGAAGGTGACTGCCCTTGCAAATGGAAAGCTGTTTCAACTGGTGCTCTGCAGGGCTGGGTGTTGGAACCTTTGCTGTTTGTTTTACATATTAACAATTTGGACTTGAATGTGGTGGGCCCAATTGGGAACTTTGCAGACGACAAAAATTAGACCAATACTGCACAGTGTAGAGAATAGCTGTAAGCTCCAAAATGATATAGATGGGTTGGGAGAGTGGGCAGGAAAGTGGCTGATGGAGTTCAACTCTGCTAAGTGTGAGGTAATGGATTTAGGGAGGTCAAACAGTAAAAAGAGAATACACAATAAACAGGGATATACTGAGAGGGGTAGAAGTAGTGAGTGATCTTAGCATACAAGAGCACAGGCCCCTAAAGGGAGCAGTACAGGTGGATGAGGTTGTTAAGGAAGGCATGTGGAATGCTCTTCTTCATTGGCAAAGGTATAGAATACAAAAGTAGGGATATAAGGATGAAACTGCACAAGACACTGAAGCCCACAAGATGCAACAACTCAAACATACCCAGGGCCCTCTGGAACCTTCCTCTCCTCCCCTTCTCTCTGACTCCATCCCCTCTCCCAACCCCACCTCCTGTCAAGTATTCACCATCCCCCCTAACCTTCTGCTCTCCGATGCTGAACGTTCTGTATCAGCAAAGGCCTCAGCTTTATTCCTCTGCGTCCCCACCTTAATGAATTTCGGGCACAACATGATGCTGAACTCATTTTTTTGCCGTCTTCACCTCTGTGCTGATTTCTTCAGATAAGAGTCCTCTCCCTATCCCACAGATCCCTTTGCCCAGTTCCAACACTCTCCCTCCACCTGGACCCCCTCCCTCTGGCCTTTTACCTGTATTCCTTCTGTTCATTGAGAACTGTCAACGTGATATTAGTCGCCTCAATTTCTCTGCCCCCCTCACCAAATTCCCTCCAAACTGACTGCACTCCGTGCACTCAGATCTAACCCTGACTTTGTTATTAAGCCTGCCGATAAGGGTGGTACTGTGGTAGTCTGGCATACTGACCTCTACCTTGCAGCTCTCAGATACCTCCTCCTATCTTCCCTTGGACCATGACCCCACCATGACATATCAGGCCATTGTATCTACTACGGTAACTGATCTCATTTCATCCGGTAATCTCCCACCACTGCTCCCAAGCGCCGCACAGCTCGCTAGTACTTCCTTCCAAAAATCCACAAACAAGGCTGCCCAGGTAGACCCATTGTTTCAGCCTGCTCCTGCCCCACAGAACTCATCTCTTCCTACCTTGACTCAGTCTTCTCTCCCCCGGTCCAATCCCTGCCCACGTACATCTGTGGTTCTTCTGACGCCTTACACCGGTTTCAAAACTTCCAGTTTACAGGTTTCAGT